TTGGTGTCACCAATCCAAGGATGGCCAATGAAAGTGTATGTATCGGCTGAAAAAGAATCAATAGCTGGAATGGTCGCGCAAGAAGACCAATTTGGTGAAGAGAGGGCGATTTACTACTTGAGTAGACGGTTAACAATATGTGAATGTAATTACTCTGCTATCGAAAAATTATGTCTTGCATTGTATTTCACATGTACAAAATTAAGGGCTTATTTATGGTCCGTAACCGTTTATTTGATTTCTAGAGTAAATTTGATTAAGTATATGTTCTCTCGCCCTATTTTACACCAAAGGGTAGGCCTTTGGACGTTAGCTTTATCAGAATTTGAAATACAATACATACCCCAAAAGGCAGTCAAAAATCAGGCTTTGGCTAACTTTCTAGCCGATCATCCATGCCTTGACATGCCTGAAGAAATTGAATTAGAAATCAATTCGTTCGAACTAAAACCTTGGGTGTTGTATTTTGATGCGTCAAAAACCTCTAAAGGTGTAGGAATAGTAGTAGCATTGATAAATCCTTTAGGGATTTGCTACAAGTTCACATTCACTTTGGATAGGATGTGCACCAACAATCAGGCCGAATATGAAGCCTTAATCGTGGGCCTAGAACTAATGATAGATATGGGGGTAAAAAATGTAAACATTAGAGGCGATTCTCAATTGGTAATTCACCAACTGATTGGTGAACTTCAATGCGTTAATAGGATATACAATGACGTGGCAAATGAGTTGGCCTAGATGGCCTCAGGGTATTCAAAGGTTTTAAATTGGAAGTCTACTTGTGAGTATGAAATAATATTGCCCGTATCCAAAGAAGGGCGAGAAGGATTGAACTTCATTGCATACAAGATGGAGATGCAATGGATTGGAGGGCAGCTAAAAAGAAAGAACACAAATTCAGAGGTCTACCACGCGTCAATTCGTGCGCTATGGGTAAATAGCTCATGGAGGGCTTTATGCTTGGCACACACAAAATGTATTTACAAAGCCAAATCAGAAGAAAGGCTACAAGCTCAGCATGGGAAGACTCAGCGCTCGAGTGGTTATGACAGGTTTGCAGGCTTGAATATGACTCGGTGAGTTTTCTTTCAAATTTTAGGGCGACACTAGAAATCAAAATACCAGGGAAAATGGTATCGCCCAAAGGTGGCAGATTTACTAGGGCCCCAACATCCTTTAAGGTAATGGACATGGGGCCAATAGGGAAAACAAAAGTATTATACTCAGAAGACCAAAAACTTAAAGCGATTGGAAAAAGTGCTGAATCAAAAATGGGGGGTCGAAGAGAGATTTCTAACAAATCAGAAATTCTAGCATTATCAAAAATTGCCTTAGTAGGACCATGGTCCACAAGACGAGCGTGCCACCTACGAAAAACGACATCAGATTTAGGCCAAGTGGGAATACCTCTTTCGCGAAGTGGCCCCAGCGGCAAAGAGTTTAGAAACGGAGGGCCTTAAGTACAAGGGAATAGCTGACCGACCGCCGCTTGTTCGATGGCCTCGACGTTGTTGAATGAAGGACCTAGCTAGAACTCTTTGAGTTCGACATTGGTTGGTGCAAGGAAGTTCGGAGTTATAAATGGCCGAGTGAAGAGTTTCTGGAAGTCTTCGAAGCTGAAGGAGTCACCAGACTGGGATTGTGAAGCGGCCATTAGGAACGAAATAAAGTTTTTCAGAGTTACGTAGCAGAGGAGCAAGGAGATGAACAGTAATATTGAGAGAGAGAAGCTCGAAAAAATGAGGCGTGATTTAGTGGTGCAATGAAATGGCGTATTTGGGGGTTATAAGGGTTTGCAAACGTCGCACCTTTTCAAGCTATGGAAGAAAACAATGATTGAAATTCTTAGGAATTTCGAATGTTGCTGGGAAACACAAAGTGAATGTGGCAAAAATTAATAATTGGTATTAATTTTGCCATATTGGGGGGTAATTGTTGACACACAAAAAGTTTAGCCCAAGTCGAATAGCCCAAGGAATGAAGCTCAATTGGAAGATCCTCAAAATCAAATAGCCCAAAGAACGACCCAATCAGGCAATGCAAGATAAATGCCCAAATAGGGAAGCCCATGAACGCAGTAATACCATCGCCCAAGGTTACAAGTCGCCCAAAATTTGAGCGAATGGATTGCCATGCAGTCGTCCAGAACTGTGCCCCTGTTCTCGCCCAAACCTTCGAGTCGCCCAGGATCTTAGCGAACGTAAGATGTTATAGTTACCCAAAGGTGCGGTTAATGAAGCGGTTATTGAGTAGCCCTATCACGTTCCACGATTCCAGGAATTCAATTAAAGACGGTTGAACGACAAAAAGTAATGGCAGCAGTTAGAGAAGGCAGTTTCATGACAAGTTGGCCACTACGAGGAAAGTGGGCAGTTATAGAGCGATCAAGCAGTTTTTAAGCGGTTGATCACGAAGAGATTATCCAGGGAGTATAAAAGGAAGAAAAGACATAGAGCAAAAGGACCCCGAATCAAACACTATCAAACAGAGAATATGTAACTTTAAATTTCTTAGTTTAGATTTAAACACTTCCTTTCAGTAACCCGTGTGCTTATCCCCCTTGGAGGCATTATGTTTTTATTTTCCAATTGTAAGGTTATCGCCAATAAAAACACCTATTTTTGGGACTTTGTCTCAAGAGGTTTGTCCCTTACACAATTGTCTGATCCCTTTTTACATGGTACAGTACCAGTTTTTTCAATTTCATTTTCTTTTCTTTGGGTTTACTTTAAAATTTATCATTACTCTTTTTTTTGGTCACTACAATTTAATTGTGAACGTTTTCAAAATGTTTTTGAAACGAGGAAAAATGTTTTTATCAAACTTTTATATTATTAATTTTTTAAAATTTTAAAAATATGAAGAGAAAATAAGCCTTTTATTCCCTTTGAATTATTTATTTGTTTGTTTGTTTTCACTGAAACCATCGTCAGAAACAAAATACACTAATCAATGAAAAGTGTGCATTTGTTTGGCTATCCATGTAAAAATAATTCCATTATTGCAAAATATTTTTGTTTATCATTTTCGTTTTTTGTAACGTATTTCCATTACTTTTCAAATTGTCCCAATTTTCGTTCGTGGTGCAGTAACATGACCTCAATGTCTCACTTGTTTAGGCCCGCTTTGGTACTAATTTTTAGGTCAAAAAATCAATTTTTTTATCATTATTTAACATGTTCATCCATCATTTTTTACTTCTTCACTCACAAATTCATTTTTCTCTCTAACGATCAAAAAATTGATTCTAAGAATTAGTGACATCTTTGACAAATTGAATTAAACGGTTTAAATATTTAAATGAATAATTATATTCAATATTATAATTTTTATTTGTTGTACTATATTTAATTGTCTTTAATATTATCAACATATGATCATTATAATACTTATGTCCTTAACCTTTTCCATCAAATTTTTATAATTAAAATTTATTTAATTAGCACTTCTCACCCTTGATGATTGCTTCTGTTAAAATATCTTATTTGTGTACTTTGAAATAAGGAAAAAGTGCTTTTTTACATTTTTGCATGTATTAGTTTTTTTTAAAAATATTATAGGCAAATAAATATTTTACGCCCTTCCAACGAACAACATACTAATTAATAAAAAGTAGAAAAATTTAATAATAAAAAAAAAGGAGTTAAAAGTGACAATGAAGAAGAGGACGTAAATGCAATTAAAATGTACTGATAAAAAACTTTGTAGCGATTACCCCTAATTTAGTCCAATATGATATTAGCGATGGCAAAAAAATCCATCCCACCCTATATGGACGGGGCTCCACCTCAAAAAAACTCGCCCCGAATGAGTTGGCGAGGCAGGGCAAGGCAGGGCGCCTCGTCGTGGGGCTCCGAACCAGCCCCGTGAAGGAAAAAATAAGAAAAAATAAGATTAAAAATAGTTTTATTTCTAGACAATTCACTTGTTAAAAATCTATTTTGAATTTGTATTTCATTTTCTAATAATAACGTAACTCAAAACTTTGAATATGTAAAGAATATAAGAAAAATTAAATAGAGCAACAAATGGGACAAAAAGTTGCCCCATCCCCGCTCCGCCAAAAGCAAGGTGGGGCATGGGGCGGGAAGGGGTTTGGGCGAGCCACCCCGTCTCGTTGCCATCCCTATATGATATTGAGATACTGTCAATACCCTAATGGACTGACCAAACTAAGTCGTTATTTGAACCACATTCTTAAAAATTCTTTTTTTTTTTTTTTTTCAAACTCATTTACAATCATGCATTTTCCAAAGAAAATAATTTTATACATAAATTTAAAAATTTTCCATACAAATGTACCGTACACTCTCCAAAAAAATTCATTTGCTTCAAAAAATTGGAGCTACACTAATATGCCTAGTTACATGCATCAAGAGCATATTAACTTAAAGAGAGAACACCCTACTACGCTAGAATAATTCTATTTAGCCACATTAGGATTACAACCCAGTCTATCTAGCGCTAATGTGACATTATGCACTAATTAATCTATCATTTAATACTACATTAATGCCATATAAACTGAGGCCCTGTTTGAACCATAACAGTGATTTGACATTATCTCAATCAAACATTTTTCAATAAAATAATATTACACACAAATTTCAAACTTTTTCTTATTTCTTAACCATACATTTTTCATCAATACATTATTCAAAAATACATTTTCATTCGATTAATGTGGCTCAAATAAGGGGCTGAGACTACGTTTGATTCTCATTTTTATAAAAATATATTTCTCTCTTCTTTTTAACCACACATTTTCCATTAAAATAATATTACACGTAAATTAAAAACTTTTATTTATTTTTCATTCATACATTCTCTATCAATCCACTATTCTAAAATTCATTTTCCAACAAAATAGGTGCCCAGCACCATCTGAGGTTGTAACTTCTGTAAGGCTAAATAGTATTACTTAATACACTATAACATAACCAAACGCACCTCAATGATAACTGTATTTCGTGAAAATACCTCAAAAGAAGCTCTTATCCCTAAATTTCAAGCCCTTCATATTCAAAATCTCTCTCAAGTGTGACAGATAAATAAGCAAAAGTGAATCCAACTCCCCGTATCCTTCCAAACTTGAAAATTAAGAATATTGAATTGCACCCAGAAATCCTGCTAACTTGAAACGGCTATAGCACATACATATCTCAGTACATGAAATTGTTCGAGTAATTCAACAGTGCTCACATGCTTCATAAACCAATTAATTAATTCCACATAGATTATATCTAATTTCATATCTCCAGGCTGAATTTTCTAAGTTGAATAGCTCTCCACAACACGTGAAGATACAGGCTTTAGTTCACAAGTGCACCAAGAGAATCTACACTGAAATTAATCAGTCCCCATGAATTGTATATCGCTCCCACTTCCTTGTTGGATCGTATATCTGCAAAAGGAAGGAACCAATAGTTAAAAATCAGGGTTAAAAAAAAAAAAAAATATATCCCTAAAGGGAATGGCAGGAATAAGAGGTATGACAAGCATACAAAGCTGTCTTGTAACAAAAGCTAGTAGACATTTGTACTGGATATTTTAGAAGCGCAAACTACAAATTAGAAAAATGCATTCTTCATATAGTCTGATAACATACATGCATTCTCACTCTCATATAGGCGTGCCAGCCCATACTTTTTTCACAAAAGTTATTCAGTTTCATTTTTCAAATATAGATGGGTGTGGGGTGCCCAAGAGAGACTGTGGGCCTCTACAACTGGCATTGGAGTCAAAAACAAATCTGGCCACGTCTTCCAAGCCAGGCGGGGAGGCACATTTTGACACCTCTACTCTCAGATAACATAATGCTGCTAAGTGGAATGCATGCACATGCATGCAAGCGCACTTGTGTGAGAGAGAGAGATGAAGAGACAAAAAGAAATATTACCTCCCATCTCGAAGCAGGAAATATGTGCTTGTTCTTCTCATACCAGTGCCTCTCTACAACTTTTCCAGCATGCGACTGATGAGAAAGTATGATAATGAATCAGTTAAATTTACATCATTTCAAGGAACTCGACAGAAATCATGAAAAAGTGCAGCTGAACGTATTTAAAGACATCACCGTGTTGCTCAATTTTTTATTTTGACTTGTTGAAGGCTATAAAAGACAGTTGTTGGCTTCCAAGGATATACACTCGCCAAGTGATTTGGCAGTTGTAAATTAGTTCACAAAAACAGTAATTCAGCTATCACTTTGGTCTCAATAGTATCCTCTCATTTAGTGATGCTGCCATTGTGATTTAACACCATACCTACAATCCATTTTTCCATTTTGGGCAGCAGATTATGCCCTTGTTTGAGCCCCATTTTCCCAAAATTCATTTTTCCTAAAACACATTTTCAACCATACATTCTCCCAATAAAATAATTTTACATGTAAATTCAAAACTTTTCCTTACTTTTTAACCATACATTCTCCAAAAAATCACTATTCTAGAATCTATTACCCAAAAAAGTGGGGCTCAAACAAGGGCTATAGAATATGGAACTGAAAACGTCGAGTACTAGAATATGGGACTGAAATCGTAGTGTACCTGAAAGACGATAAAAAATAAATAGATAAATAAATAAAATTAAAAACTGAAAGAGAAATCTAAAGCATAATATATTGTGATTAAATGATCAAACATGATTTCAAATACACGACCCAACTGCATGGGCAGAATGCAAGTGAGGCAATGGGCAAAAAGATGGAAACTCATAGACATTACCACCTTTGCATAAGAGATCATATGTAGGAAAATGATACCACCTCACACAGCAAGATCTAAAATCATAACTTGATGTATTTTTTTGGACAAAATCTTAAGTATAGAAGAAAGTACCTCATCTTTCTCTATTGTGGCATCAGCAGTGGTGCGAACATCATCGTGCACATCAAAATGGAAAAGCTGCACAAAATTAAAAACTAAAATATTTATGAATGGATCGAGAAGATTTCCTTGTATACTGGTTTTGAAGGAATAAACTTGGAATGGGTTTGTAACGTCAAAAATCATCTCAGCTTCCACTGAATGCACCGACACGGATACGTTTGTCCGACACTATACGTGTCGAATACGTCGACACACGATTTTTCAAAAAAAGTACCGATACGACATGGCCAACACGTTGATTAAGTTATTTAAAATTTTTCATTTATATAGTATATATTTAGTTTTATACTTGTTATTAAATTTTCCTTATTTAAATCTTTTAAATATGAGTACCTATTTTTTATTTACTAATAACCTTGAGTTATAAAATTATAATAAAAAATGTTTATGATAGAGTATCCGAAGAGTGTTAGTATCGACGTGTGTCGGACACGGACACGCTATCCCAATTGAAGTGTCCGTGCTACAAAGATTCCACTCAATATTCACATCCTGTAACAAGTCTAAATGAAGAAAATTAAACTGTTCCCTTCAAGTTATGCACTATCATAGCTTAAACCAGAGAAACAGAACATTACCGGTCCACTTTTTCCTCTAGCCTTGTTTATGATCAGCTCATGGAAACTGTGTTGCTGCACATCAAGAAAGAAACAAAATTGTATTTGTTAGACAGCAGGCAAGATTACATTGGTGTATAGGGTCAGGGTTGAATATTGGGACTGCATGCATTGTGTAATAGAGTACGTTCATATATCTTACATGTGGAATGATAAGATCTTCTTTCACATAAAGCAGATTCTCCACAGAAGTAGTCACCTCTCGGAACTCTGGTGACAGCTGTTGCTGAACAGCCCGGAGAAATTCACCAATGGTATCGCCCTTTCGTACCTAAAAGTAGGGTAGTGATTAATTCCAGCAAAGCCAGCAAAACAATGAGTGCACAGACCAGGTAAGAATTGTTGAAATACGAAAAAGTGTAGCAATTAGTAACCTGAATAACTCGCCTATGGCCAGTACCATCCCAATAGCTGTAAGTGATTTCAAGAGGCTCATCTAAAGGAACAACAGGAAAGTAGACACAAGAATTAGAATATTGTTTTCTTTCACTAGCAGTTATTATAATATTTTAAAACATATGCTCACTCTTAATCTGTTCTTGCTCACGAATCCATTGCTTCTGCAGTCTTTCACGCTCAGCTTGTTCCTCTGCCTCTCTCTCACTGTAAGAGTATGCTTCAAACTCCAAAGGCCCGACATAAGTAAAGAGTCCCAAAGGCGTAAAATTAATAGATCAGACATAAAAATTCATAAAAATACACAAGCATGTATAGGAATGCAGCACACAAGCATCAACACATAAACTTACACACATGTATCAGGTAAAAGAGGAAGAAATATCACACCTGTCTGGCAGAAAGCTAGTCTCTACTGTAGGATCTTTGCCCAATTTCCTCTGCCCAAGCCTTCCAGATTCTTTATCTTCTTCAAAGACACAAGACGAGAGCATGTTAAATGAGAGTATATTCCCAAATTCAACATTATTTTCAAGAATGGCTCGAGTCTTTCTTCTAATGGAATGATTACTTTAACATCCTAATGTCAAGATATTCATTCACGAATCAAGTTCACATATCATTTAAGATCAAATTTCACTCTTGTTTTAAGTTTTTAAGTGAGCCATGTTTCACCTTGGATGCCATGATTTGATTCATGTTGCTTCAACACTGGAAATACTTTCACCAACTTTTTTCAGTAGTTACAAACGACCCCCGGGGCGGAAATCCCAAAGGTGAAAAAAAAATAAAATAAAATTATGCACCCATATATACACAGAAGCCACCAATTCTACCCAGTTGATAATCAATCCCAACAAAGATAAAAGTGATTGTGGAAAGACAACGTTCATCAGGCAGGAAAGCAGCCCATCAAAGTGTAAAACAAACTGAGACCTGTAGCAGAGAAACTACATATCTACACTGCTAAGTCTGCTATAAACCATGTAATGAGTATAAACACTCGTATATATAAACCAAAAATGAGGTAACAGAACGAAATAACATGTATTGACAGAAAAACTGCGGATATAGTTGAACTCCAGCAGATCATTAGCTAAGAACAGCAGGGAGCTAGCAGGAGCTAGCAACCCTTGTGTACATGAGCCTCCACCAATTCAAAGTTCAAACATTTACACAATAACTACAACAAATATTCAAAATGAAAATATTGAAATTATGCTTACTATTTTCCTCCTCTTCCTCTTCATTGTCATTCTCAAAATCATCTGAAAAAGATAGTCGAGGGTCCACCTTTATTTTCCGCTTCTTCAGCTTTTGCAACTGAAGCTCCTCCTCTCTACAACACAATATTATAAGATAAAAGAGTTAAAATATACAGACATACACACACACACACACATTCATTATTGGTACTCTCTCATGGATGTCTGCTGAATAGCATTAGTCAACCCCTGTTACCAAGGCATGCATTAGGGTGATCCCATTGTAGGCTTTGCGATAGTCAATCAATACAGTATTGCATCTACAGTGATAATTTATTATAATTTCATTTTTATTCAATTATGTCTTCTTTTTCAAATTGGTTTAGTAAATCCAAAAATATTTCAAACACTACTCATTATGAAGAAGAAATAGATCATGATAATGCATATGCATTAGATACATTCAATTCTCAAGAATTTCAAATAGCGAAAATTGAACAGAAATTGCAAAACTGGACTATTCCAAAGATAGATAAAAGTTCTATCTATGAAATAGGAAAGATTGACTTTCATCAAGATTATGTTATCAAAACACTTGAGCAAACGATTGCCATTAAGCATCAATTCGCTAAATGAATCTTTTTTCAAAAGATACTATTCAATCTCATATAAAGAAATTTAAACATCTTCACGTGGAATTAATTCAAATTGCTGTCAAAACTTTTTTAGACTTGATTTACATATTTCTATTCTTTTAACTCTTTGAAATAAGAGACTTCTTGAATTTGAAAATTCATTATTATCCGTTTTAGAATCGAATTTAGAAAGTGGTCCAATCGTTTCAAATTTTTATCCAAATTTTACAATCAATTTAAGTGATGGAGCTATTCTTAACGCTCTAAATTTTCTTATTCAAACAAAAAATTTGAATTTTGATGATTGTTCAAAAGAATTTGATGTAACAGATAGAATATATTATAAGCTTATAAATACTCAAACTTAACATTAGAGCTCTTCACTCGTCTCCTAAAGAAAAAAAGCTTTCTTATGGAGGTTAATCATCTTCATTCTAATTCCTAAAAGGATACCATGGAATCTTAAATCTAGAGGACTTGAATGTGATTTTAAAAAAGCTCAAACTCCAATTCCTATTCCTATTAGATCAATTCCAGATCAAATTATTTCATTCCCTAATGGAAGTGTCAAAATTATTTTTGCCAAAGGGTCTTCATCAAATAATCTTCAAAGATCTTATTCTTCTGGATCTGAAATAGATTGAGAATTTCTTTCAAAATTCTAGATTTTTGACTTCTTCAGAGAAGTTAAAAGAAGTTGATTTCACTCCAAATATTCTAAAAACTCAAAATGAACTGATAAAGACAATGAATTAAAACAGCCCGATTCACCAACCAACTTTATATGATATGCTTTCAAATCCTTCTAAAAGATTAGATTAGCAATGTAATGTCATTTCTTCCATAAATAGAAAAAAATGAATTCAAAATTGATCAAACCCCTTCAATTAGAAGTTTTCGTCAAACTCTCCATTCAATGTTTTCAAAAGATGAAATTAAATCTTTATAGAAAGAATTTTATGATTCTTATGAAGATATAAGTTTTTATGAATGGGGCATATTTCAAAGTTTTTAAAAAATATATTCAAAATACTCATGTTAATAAGAAAACATGAAAAACTCCTTCGGGTCAAAACTTTCAAACTGAACATCCTCCGATGCAAGAAGAAGTTGTTTTACATGGAAACACTGAAATAATTGCATCTCCAATTAAACAACTACCAACTGATAGATCAGAGGAATCTAACGCCATAGTAAAAGATATCAAAAATATTCAATCTCAGAATAATTAGTATAATATTATTTGTCAATCTATGTGTTCTCAATTATCTAGAATTGAAGTCAATTCTGAGATTGAGGCTCCTCATCTAAGAAAGATGAAAACAAACTCTTATTTTCAAACTAATGGAGCCGAAATTTGTTCCAAAACTGGGGAAAGAAACCACGCTTACTGAATCCAATATTTTACAAGAACTTGCAAAACAAATTTCAAAATTAGGATCATCCAAAAATATTAATACAATTGAAAATCTTGAAAATCAATTTATTGAGAATGAAAAACCTTTTACTAATAAATTGAAAGGTCAAAATTCAAATCTTCCAAGTTATTATTCTCGCCCTTCTTATCCTGATATGTTACATAAAGAAAAGAAGAAATATCAAGTTTCCTCTAATGGAGATGAATTCATTGAATGAAATCTTGATGGAATGACAGAATATCAAATTGTTAATTTCCTTGAATATATGGCAATCTGCTACGCTGCTTATATTGGTAGAGGTACATCCGCATACGGTGCTATGTCAAATTTAGTTTTAAGTTTCACTGGACAATTAAAATATTGGTAGAATAATTATTTATCTGCTGAGGATAGGAATAATATCGAAAGTGCGGTAAACTCTCAAGGAAACGGCGATATGTTCAATACTCTTATTTATTCAATATTCAAACATTTTATTGGAACTACTCTTCTTCAAGATAGATTTTTCAGATTTTTATGAATCTTAGTTGTCCAAAGCTTCATGATTTTCACTAATATAAGATACGTTTATGACCAAAGTATTAAGTCGCGAAGACTGTAATCAATCTTTTTGGAAATAAACATTTATTTTTGGACTTCCTAAACTCTTTACAGAAAGAGTTGGAAATTCAATTAAACTTAAACATCATGTTACTATTCCCTATGCTCTCCTAATTTATTGTGAAATTATTAATTTCGTCAATAAAGAAGGGTTAGCATTATATTCTTGAATCTTGATCTCCTTTTATAATTGAAGTATTGAAGTCTGGACTTGAAATTTCTTGAATTGAAGTCAACGAATCTTGCATAGTATTGATATCCTTTTCTTTTCTCTGCTGAAAAGTCTTCTTGAATAATTGAGGAAATATGTCCTTTTGTTTGTAATTTTCTCAATGAATTATTAAAGTTGAAAGGAAACATCGCTTTCACTTTAATAAAGTCTCTTTAGATTCCATACTGATTTTTGAAAAATGACAATGCTTTAATAAAGCTTATCTATTTCTTTAATAAAGCTTGTCCATTAGTGCTTACTTGGTGGTAATAGTGGCAAAAATAGCTTTTGATGTGGTAGATATAATTGAAATAATATCTCATTTGATTTGAGAACCCTTGTATAATTGATATTCATCCAAATAACTAGGTCCATATAATCATTTTGAGAATTTTTGAGTGTTTTCTTGAGCAATGAGTTCGTACAGGTCTATCCCATAACAATCATCTTCATTGCTTTGAGCATAGTTTGTTTCAAAACCTATTTGAGAAAAAGAGCTGCCTTGAACTGATTTTGATTTCTTTGAAGTAGATTCTGTCAAAGAAGCAATTTTTCAAAAATAATTGCTAATTCTTATGGTGTTTTACATTGATTGAACATAGCCATTAATCTTTATTTTTCTTTAAGAATCAATATTTTTATCTAATTCTTTCTTTGAAATTTTTGGAACACTGATATTCCTTTGCTCTTGTATCTATAAGTTTGCTTTTGGACAACAGTCCGTTTAATGGAATTTTTTTTCACCATTTTGCTTTAAATGTTCGAATAATCCTCTTATCATGATACTTAGAGCTTTGATCTTAAATAATATGATAGTCCCAACAAAATA